GGGCCTTGTGGGACCTATTACAGTTCCTCAGGGCCTGTAAAGTGGATCTGTTCCGCCAGTCTTTCAGTTGAGACGGTAGACACCCAATCACTTGGCCTTCCTGCATAGACGTTTCCCTAACTATTTACCCTATGTGGAGTTTGGTACTATATGAACCAGTACGGCTCCAGTTACCATCAGTCCAGCTTATAGGGGGTCTGAACTGTTATATTTAATGTGCCATCTTTAAAATTTTTAAGGGTTTCAGCTGTTTTAAGAATTAATTATGTTATTAATTGTTTATGCACTTTGTTGTTACCCGCCCTGAGCCCATTTTGGGAAGGGTGGGATATAAATGAAATAAATAAATAAAGGGCTCCAGTCCTGAAAGGCAGTGGGTCCAATGGTTCCTTGGCCAGGTGATCCACAGAGCACAGTGGAACAGCTGCCATCTATCCCAAACCACAGTTGTGCCCTGTCTCCAACCTGAAAGGAGGTGGCACCCTCACAAGGAAGTGTGCTAACAGTCCCTGCCACCATCATAGGTGACTGCCCTGGGTATACTTTCCTGAGAATATGCCCTATTGCATGACATGGGGCCATGGTGCTGGGAGGGCCTGGCTTGGGCCGTCCCTATGTGCACACACCCATTGGCCTCCAGGGTGGGAGCTAGTACTGTCAAGGCAGCACCCAGCCTTGTGTGAGAGGAACAGGGAGGCATGCAAGGAATCTCGGGCCAGTGCAGCTGGATTCCTACCCCTCCTCACGTGTCAGTGCATTCTCACCCCTTTGGGTTAAGCCTCCAAAGCTGGGGTGCCTGTTCAGGTTCTGAAATGCGACACATTAGCCACACAGCATGGACTTTGCTCTCCCCATTGGGTGTTAGTGCTAAGTTCTCCTGTGGTGCTAAGTGCCCTCTCTGTGCTATTCCTGCCACCAGCATGCAATGCTGTGAGCTCTAAGTGTGCACAGTAGAGACCTCTGAGACAGAGTCTTGCGCCACATGCCCCACCAACTCAACTATGGGCCATCCTGGGGGGGGGGGTTATATGGTGCATGGGAGCTTGTGAGTGGGTGCAGGGGAGGGGGTGATTGGATGTGTCTTTAGTCAGCGTCCCATACTCTGAAGGCTTTTGGGATTGCTCCTGTTGGAGGGAAGGGAATGCTTGGCCTGCCCCCATTGTATAGGTGCCTGTGAGCTACTCCATGGGTTTTGATGGCATAACACACAATTTTCTGCCATTTGGGAAGGTGTTCCCAGGTTGAGGTGGCAGAAGGAACTAACTCCTTCTTACACCCTAGGCTCCACCTCTGTCTCCACTGACACAATGGCTTGCACCAGCATTCCTTCATGACATTGTCCTTCTAGGGTGCAGCACCACTGGGGCACCCCACCAGTGAATCTTGGAGATGCACCGGCAAGGCTTCCTTGTTGGCTCCTTGTGTGCTTTTGCCCCCTCCCCCAGGATTACACTGGTCATGTTTTAATTTTGTTCATCAAAGTAAGTGTGAGGTAACTATTCACTTCCTTTTCATGTACTGAAATGGTTACTATTCTATATCATACAGTGAAGACATGATTCTCACACCCTTTCTTTCAAGTCAGTAAAGGTTTCAGGCATGGGCCACAGCTTGAACTTCAAATGTGACTCGTGGAAAAACTGTAGAAATTCTAATACACTCGGGTTTTCTTTTTCTGATTTTGTTTTCTTCTGTTCCTTCTTTCTTTCTTCATGGTTATATACAGAAAGTTGATATCTGAGGGCAGTGTGTTTCAGCGAACAACTCTGTTGTAAAATAGAATTGTGATTTAGAAAATGTTTTGGTGATAACTATGATAGAATACCATGTACCTTATGTATCAGCAGTGGAAAGTTCCCCGTAATTTTCATGCAAGAGTTATGCAAGTTGCAAGGACGGGATCTAACTGGCTGGTTACTTTGGCTACTTTGTTTGAACAGTAGACTCAACGTACCATGTCTCTGAAAATCCCTCAGTTTCCAAAGTGTTTTGTGGCAGGGTGGAGTGGGAGGCTGCTGTTGAAGGTACTCAGGCTCCCTTGGGCACATGGCACTAGTTGTTTAGGCCTTTGGATCCCAGCCTAAATTAGCTGCAGCTCCAGGTAATGGTGTAAGTCTACTGTGGCCTTTGAATGTAATAAATGTCCAGATTTAGGAGAATGTAGTGGTTGAAGAAACCATGGCCCCAGACTTACCTGAGGCCATATTTGAGGCTGCAGGGCTAGGAGTGAGCTAAGGAGGCTGTCCTGGTGGCTTTGAGATGTGGTAAGGGGCTCGGGAGTTGGAGCTCGTGTTGTGCCGAGCTGGCCACCTCATGGTTCTGTGGGCCGGCTAGAAGGGAGGCATGTCCTGGTCAGCCCCAGATCTCTTGTGTCAGGTCCAGCCTGCCCCCCTTTGCTGTTTTGCCAGCCTGCATCAGGCCCCTTGCCCTCAGTTTCTTCCAGCTCTCTCATGCACCCTCCCTTGGCGTTCAGTTGTTACAAGTAGCGTTCTGTTACGGGTCGCATTTGGGTTAATTTTGTCATTTGTGTCTCTGCATTTGTCATAGCACTGTTTGGCGGTTTGAGCATTGGGCCAGATCCATTGGGGGGAGGCTGTGCCTTCATACCTGCCTCCTCCATTTTGGGAACTCCCTTAAGGGGTCTTTGGGGGTGGAGCCATTTAGCGGCATGCCCACCTCAGGGACTGTCTGCTGGCTCTCACCACCAGGTGGCAAGGGAACCGTGCAGAGACTTGCACCCATGTGGTATCTAGGGTTTTGCTGCTCCATGGGTTTTCCACCCAGCAGATGGGGGGGGGATGCGTATATCAGGTGGCAGGCAGGTCGCCCAATGCTGGTTATTCCCCCATGCTGCACCATCATTCCTTCAGCTATCTATATATCCGTGTGCGGATGCTTATTTCTACTTAGAGGAAGCTCACTCTGCCCCAAAACCTTTTCCTACATAGTCAGTATCCTTCCTGTGACTGCAGAAAAATCCAAGAAGTTAAAAAATCCCTCCAGGGACAGCTGAATTCCCCCCAAAACCGTTTGAAATGGCCTCTGCAGGGATCCAACTCCAGGCATCAATGGTGAGAGAGAGATTAGAACGTTCGAGGGGGGGAGGCTTCTAACTGGCTCTGTCAGTAAAAGGGTGGGGGAAGGGCCCTTTCTTGGCTTCTTTTGGCCTCGGAGGGAGGGAGGGAGGGAAGAAGCCTTGGGGCCAGGCCTGACAAAGGGTTGCCAGTGCCAGCCTGGGGAATCCCTAGAGGTTTTGAGGTGTGTCAAAGAGCATCCTTAGTGTCCCCTTCTATTTATTCAACATTGAATGTAGCTTATAAAATAAATAAATAAATAAATTTATTAATCGCTCAATCCTGCAGAGCTTGCTGGCGCCGAGCGATTTACAGTTACTCCATTACACACGGGACTAACAATGATTCAAGGGGTAAGGGAGGACAACATATAATCTTTAAATCACACACGTTCGCAGCCGACGGGGAGTTTTGTTCAGCTGTAAGGTCAGACGTGTTCCAACGGCATTTTTCCCTCGGCGTGGCTTGATGTCGTCAGCTTTCTCCGGACTGCTTCAAGTTGCAGCGCAGCACTGCCACCGCCTGGCCGGATGGCCCATTACAGGCTTTCTTGATGCCGAAGAGTTCTTTCTAGGCTTTCGATTTTACGCGCTGGACATTCCGTTCACCAGCTAACACCTCCCCCACCGGGGGGTTTAGTGTGCCCACTCTCTCTAAGGAGTGGTACCCATTTTATCTACTCGCCGAAGCTTTCAAACTGTTGGGTGGACGGCGAGCTGGGGGACAAAGCTGGTAGCTCACACCAGCACGGGGCTAGAACTGACAGCAGCTCTGTTCAGCTCAGATGTATTAACCAGAGTATAAATCCCCTGTGCCACCGCTCCCCTAGCCACTGCTCCTTATTACAGGCACTCCCCAGGCCTGGTTCCCCCCCAAGCCTAGCACTCAAGGTAGTCACCTGGGTTGCTTGTCATGGAGCTGTTTATGCTATGGAAGGCAATGGGACAGCCCTTCCATGTGAGAGAGCCCAATGGGTGCATCAGGATTCCTGTAAGGTTCACATTTTGTCTTTTATGTTGAGTTCTGCACTTGTTTACATAGTGTTACCAACATTCACAATGGTGAAATAGCACTGATTAACAGAGGCCTTGGTACATAATTTTGGTTTGCACGCAGTGCAGCTGAAGGTAAGTTGGAGTCCTTTGGTGCATTGTTGAATTGGGTCCCAAGTGCACCCTCGCTTTGGTTACTTGAATTTATTAAACTATTGTTGTCTCTAGTACAAATCCCTTATTTCCCTCTAGGTATCAAAATGTTTTATTATTATGTTAGTTCTGGCCAGGCTGTTGCCAGAGTAATAAGGTTTTTGATATGTTTGCACAAAAAGTAGAATTTAAGAGAACAATTTCCCTCTGTCTGGCAAACATACCCTTCCCGTTCCCAATTTCTTCTTCTTCATTACAAAGTACAGTGAAAAGTCAAAGGAGATTTTAAAATGTCAGTAGAATGTGTTCAGATTAATGACAGAATTTTACCTCTCTCCAGTAAGAGTGCAAAAAGTGCTCAGAAATAAATATTTTATTTTGAGAAACAAGAAATTTAAATCTTGAATTCCTTCTCAAAGTCAGAATTCATAGATCGTTAAACACTAAGTATTATAAAATTTATTCTGTTCTCACTGTGAATAAAGTTATCCATCTCAAAAATCACTTTTCTGTTGTTCCATTCTATAACACTTCTGTCCCTCTTCCCATTTTCCTGTTGAAGCCCTGCATCATTTAAGCATTTGCCCCCAACCTGTCTGATGATTTTTACATCAGGCTTTGGGAAGACATTCAGAGTTGCTGTGTCTTGTGACATGTTTGCATATTTTTCCCTCTGTTGGCTGTTTCTCATTTCCAAAAGTTCAATTCTTCACTGCTGAAAACCCTGTAGATAAAAAGATTTACAAATGTGTGTGTTTTTCCCCTTATGTCCTGATTTCAGCCCGAGGTGTTACTGAAAGGCACCCCAGCTTCATGTATCCTACTGGGACCTCAAGCAGTCAGATGGTTCTGAGAGGGGAGGATCTCTTGCTGGAATGTATTGCTTCAGGAGTGTACGTACCACTTGGTGTCAGGAGAAGGGTGGGCTCTTGTCATGTCAAGTACTTCAAAACTTCCCTCTCCCAGTTCCATTTCCTGTACTACTGATTTTATTTTATTTTATTTTTCGTGTGCACACAAAAACTCATACCTTGAATAAACCTTTGTTGGTCTTAAAGGTGCCACTGGACTCAAAATGTGAATAAAACAGTGTCTCCCTTGGGCATATGACTGATTGGAGACTCAGTCACCAGTTCGTATAGGATACAACATTGCCATTATTAACAAATAATACCTACTGTGGTTATGGGAATGTTTCAGTAATAATAATAAAGGGATGGTAAGTGCATGTAACTTATAGATCTCAGTTGCCATGGTTCAGATGTAATAGCAGCTGCTATAAAGAGAAGCCTGGAAGGAGCCTCATACCCTGCTCCTCCTCCCACCTTGCACATGGGGGTGGGGGGGGATAATAGCAGCCACTTTTACAGCAGCCTGTAATGTGGTGTCGCATCCAAACAGATAAACTAGGGTTTGTGCTTTCTATATCAACTAATATTCCAAATGGGTTTTAACATAATGGTTAAAGTCCAATTTGCAACAAAAGTGGAAGTTACTAATTCATCCTGGCCATGATGTGGGAGAGGGAAGCAGGGATCACATGAGCAAGCCTCATGTTTCTCCCAGGTTTGTTCTTTTAGGCCATGTAACGGCCATGATTTGCCTTTACTAAGCAACTACTTTATATCCACAACATTCAAGTAGAAGCAAAATTGTTATTACCACATTTGGAATGTGGAAACCAGTAATTTACAGGTTTTTACATAGCCCTTGTCAGATGTTTCATCTGTCTAGTTTGCTGTTTAGTAGCCTGCTCTGGCAGTGGCTCAGATATCTTGGACAGAGATTGTGCCCGGCATTGCTACATGAAATGTGTTTACCACAGAAGCCTGGTATATCACATAGAAGCTTATGCTTTTCTAATAAAGTACTGTATAATTAAGTTTATTTCCCCCTTGTCAGTGAAGCCTCCCAGTTCCTTTGGCAGGCTTGTCTGGGATCTTGAGTCCATGCGGTGAGATTCCTTATTAACAAGCTACCTCTTGGGGAACTACTGCCTTTCTGTTTCTAAAGTATATGTTGTGTTACAAGAGTCCTCATCTGAAGTGCACAAATCCTGTTGTCTTCTTCCTATAGTCCAACACCAGACATCATATGGCACAAGAGGGGAGGGGAGCTCCCAGTAGGCAGGATCAGCTATGAGAACTTCAGAAAAGCGCTTCGTATTGCTAATGTCTCCGAGGAAGATTCTGGTGAATACTTCTGCTTGGCCTCCAACAAAGTGGGCAGTAGTCGCCACACAGTCTCAGTGAGAGTGAAGGGTATGTCCTATTTACTATAAATTCTTATTCCTTTGTCTGTTAGTGTCTTTATTTGTAATATAGTGAATGAGGTGAAAATTCCAGTGTTGCGACTGAAGAAAACCACCTTTCAGTAGCCCATCCTAGCAAGACCAGTTTAATCTTCTGCCGTATTTGAATATTTTAAATAAATAAATAAATAAATAATATTCATTTTCTTATTAGCATGAAAGGAAGAAGAAGAAGGAGAAGAGGCGATTGGATTTATACCCCGCCCTTCACTACCCAAAGGTGCCTCAGAGTGGCTTACAGACTCCTTTCCCTTCCCCTCCCCACAACAGACACCCTGTGAGGTGGGTGGGGCTGAGAGAGCTCTTGACAGAATCTGCTCTTTTTCAAGAACAGCTCTTATCAGAACTACGGTTTGCCCAAGGTCATCCAGCCAGGTGGAAGTGGAGGAGTGGCGAATCAATCCCGGTTCTCCCAGATTAGAGTCTGTGCACTTAACCACTACACCAAACTGGCTCTCCTAGCTTCTCCTGAGGAGAAGGTTTTCCTCAATGAAAAGGCAATTGAATT